GAATGCAACAATTCGAAAGTATTTGGTGCTGAAAGTAAAAAAAAAGGAGTAATTATTCTGCAGAAATTGATGGAAAATCTCCATCATAAGAGCTTCAAAATGCGTCCAAATAGATTTAAAATTTCAAAAATTTTCCGGGGGAGTCCCCCCGAGCCCCCCTCTGTGCTAGGGGCCCGGGCCAGAAAACTGGTACCAGGGCCCGAGATGGGATGTGGCGGGCCTGGTTGTGTCTAACCAATTTCAACAATCAGCCCGCTGCTTTGCATCAAAAAACTTAACTAAAGTCACAACGGGAAATTCAGAAAATCGGAAACGTCGATACTTGCTTCCGAGCTTTCCCGGGACGGTTTCACAGGTGCTACGCCTCACTTGGGCGTCTCCGTCATTGGGTTCTAAACTTGGCGACAGAGCGAGGCGCGGTTTGGCGATACAGCGTCGGCGGCGAACTTGGATCCCGGAGCCGTCAATCAACGCTGCTCATTTTTAGCGACGACGCACACTGGATCGAGTCAATCCAAGAGGTCGGACATGAAACTTAAGACTAAAACTGCAAATTTTGATGTTAACTTCCCTAAATTTTAAATTTTAAGGGATGCATATAAGAGAAAATTTCACGAGGAAACCAACGGAACCATTTTCAAAACCTCAAAATGGGCCTGTTGCATGCAAGAGATACAGCCGTGCGAATAGACTTTTTAGAGGTTAAATGACACGAAAATTACGATGGTCATATTAAAAAAGTCTGAAATACACTCCTTACTGCGCAATTTGTGTTATTAGGAACGCGCTTTTTCAAATTTCCCGCGTCTGGGGGCAGTTTTCTAATCACCGGAAACGAGCAAACGGCGGGCTCGGTGATTTCCGGAAGATGCCGAGTCGTTGTTGTTGTTGTTATTTTTTCCTTCAGTTTGTTTACAAACCTAACGTGATCTCCTATAGTGGTCCTTATGTGTGACCAACGCTTTATGCGGTAACCAAATCGATCAACTTTTAAATATCCAACGCAATCCTTCTACATTTCATTTCACGATGTCACGACCTCCGATTTTTAGGTTATGTTGTCAGTTTTAGTTGACCGGAAATAGCCACGAGTTGCCGTTAATTGTTTCCGTTAGAAAACTGCCCCCAGACGCGGGAAATTTGAAAAAACGCGTTCCTAACAACGCAAATTGCGCAGTAAGAAGTGTATTTCAGACTTTTTTAATGTGACCATCGTAATTTTCGTGTCATTTAACCTCTTAAAAGTCTATTCGCGCGGCTGTATCTCTTGCATGCAACAGGCCCATTTCACGAGGAAACCAACGGAACCATTTTCAGAACCTCAAAATTGCGTATGAAAGGAGTTATAAGCTTTTAAAATTTCGAAATTTTGTCCGACCTCTACAATTGAATCGAACCACTGTGCGACGCGACGGTCCGAGTCACAGCCGCGACCGTCGTCGTTGCGCCTGCAATCTCAGTGCCGGTGACCCGCTCAACAGATGCACTCCCGCTCAACGGTTCGACGCTTCAGCCCTGATACGATAGGAGTTGAGGCGCCGCCGTAAGAAGTGTTCCATCGTATTTTAGCAGATAACATGGTGGACACGTCGGAAATTTTTGGGCGAGTTCAGGGTGTCTACTGAAATTTTGTTTTGTACTTCCCTGATATTTTCCTGCTACTTATTTATTTATTTTTTTAAACCTGATGTTTTGCGCGACTCAACGAATCAACATATTAAATAAATTGAATTAAACGTTTGAAAAATGCTTAAAGCATTCAGAATTTCCTGATCAATGACCAATTTCTCTAAGATTTTACTGATGACATCAATTTTCCTGATATTCTCCGTTGATTTTAAGCCAGAAAAACCCTACAGTCTCCTAGGGCAAGTAAGTTTCCAATTATATTTCATACACTAGACAATTAGTGACGTTTCCTGGTTTCGATCCGTCGCGCCAACCCGGTGGACCTACCGAAAAGATCGATGATCGATATTCCCGCGTCTGAAGCATTCCAAAGAATCGATTATTAAGGTTTCCGTTTCAAACACCCTGTTTATCGATCCTTTTCTATAGGTTTAAACGGGAGATAAATCGATACATCGAAAGCTCGCAACTCCACTGACCGAAATCTAGCAACACCTGCGAAAGCTCCGGCTTTCTAGAATAATTGTGGTAGTTGAAACGTTGGCCGGCTGCCCGCTCGGCTTCAACTCAAGGACCCCCCCTCCCCCGTGCCACAGGGCCGGCCCCCACGGGACCATACGTTACCTATCATACGGGTGGCAAAATCTCCTCATTTTTTACTTCCTACTTTAGAACTTACGACGGGAAACCAAGCAGGCGTCAGCGACGACCCATCGCAGATATCAATTTGATACGCGACTTCGTCTAGGCGAGAGGGCGCGTTGGACGAACGACTAACCCCCTCCCCTCCCCCCCTCTTTACCGATGCACGGCTCCTAACTCGATGGGTGCTTCCCGGCCTTAATATGATGCACTGGAAAAAAAAAAAAAAAAAAAAAAAAANAAAAAAAAAAAAAAAAAAAAAAAAAAAAAAAAAAAAAAAAAAAAAAAAACTTATTGGATCTAGAGTCTAGACTCTTGAAAACATTGACAAGAAAAAATACTCTTGATTCAATCAGAGTTTTGCTTAAATCAAAAGGAAATCCACTCATATTAAGAGGCTTGGTTCTTGATTTAAGCAAAAATCCGATTGAATCAAGAGTATTTTTTCTTGTCGATGTTTTTAAGAGTCTGGACTCTAGATCCAATATGGTTTTTTTTCCAGTGTAATATGATGGTGTCCAGAAGTCATTGGACTTCCCATCCTCTAATATTTACCTAATTGTTCTCATTTGAAGGAAAATTTCTGATGAGAAACTGAGATAATCTCCGATTCTGTCTCTCTCTCAGATCACTGATTAAAATTTGTAAATTTGAAAAAAAGAGCTCACGTTTGGAACTTATACTCTGGCACTGGCCAAAAAATCGTGGTGACTACCGAGAGTAAGTAAATCTTGGATATATCTACGAAATGAAAAAAAAAACCCACGATGATAAGGAGAAGGGGGGGGGAGAAAAAGTTCAAGCAAAGACTTGTTTTTGTACCTCTCATTTTCCGCGATTTAAATCCATAAAATTTTGTTGAGTTAGCGATGTAAATGATTGTTCTCTGTTGAATTACTTATTATTCAGGAAACCGTTATGGATTCATTTGATGATCTACAACATTTAAGCATTTGTAGCAAAAGTTTGACTACTATTCTCGCTGAAACTCAAAAAAAAAAAAAAAAAAAAAACTTCAGCGCACATTAACTCTTAATTCAGCCATTTTCGTATTCAGATAATTCACTCCGAATTGCCGCAATTTTCAGCCGTGCAGTCATTAAACGCCACAGAGGTCGATTTGGAGAGGATTTCAGCACTTAAAATTGCTCTGGTAGGCGGGCACGAGTTGCCAAAACGCTCGGGAAACAGCGGAACACTCCCGGCTTCCTTAGCGCCCCGTGCGGACGAGAAATTCAAATTATTCACGATACTGGTTTCCGTGTTATGCGCTTAATGATTTTTCGCCCCCCGACACCCCCCTCCCCATTACCCGCGGGCGACATGGTCGAAACAAGCGTCGTCGATCCGCCGTTGAGTTGTGACATTCCAGGCCAAGTTGTTAACGACCGCACATGTCCGTAAATACGAAGTATACGAAACATCGTTACGAGAAAGGCGGAAAAATCCGAGCTCCTCTGAATTATTCCGCTCTGAAAAAAAGCTCCGGGTCTCGCAGCTGTAATTACGGACAATCCGGCGTTTTCCTAACGAAAGAACATAACTATACTTCAATTAGTGTTTACTTCAATTATCGTTTAGTGTAGTAACTATCATAATAATAAGATGATCGTCAAACTCGAACTATTCCTTTATTGGGATGATTCGAACAATTTCCCAACTGATTTCATATGAAATTAACATAATTATGATTTTAATTACTGTAATGATAATTACAGAACCAATAAACTTCATTATAATAAAGAAAATTCAAAAATATGTGTATGTTTTGATAATTTTATTTCCTTTAGTGCTAATCTGAATTCATCATTCATCTGACTTCAATATTACCAAATTTCATTTTTCTAAAGAGAATCTTGGGTATTCCTCCCCGAAAATTTCCGCGATTTTTCCTCTGACTTCATGCAAAAATCGATAAAATTTTGGACGAAAATCCCGAAATGGGTCGAGTTGGTAGGAGAGGTCGGACAAAATTTGGAAACTTTAAAAGCTTATAACTCCTTTTATACACAATTTTGAGGTTTTGAAAATGGTTCCATTGGTTTCCTCGTAAAATTTTCCGTTGGAAACACTCCATAAAATTTAAAATATGACAAGATAAACATCAAAATTTGCAGTTTTAGTCAAAAATTCCATGTCCGACCTCTCCAATTGACTCGATGCACTGTGCGGCGGATTGTCCGACTCCGTCACATTTGCAGTGGATTTAAGTAAACGATGAGCGACGTTGCCAACTTGTAAGAATCACCACTGCTAACCTCGAATAATATTGATAAATCATAGAAACCAATTATGCCCAAAAGTGCTTTTTCCATTTTCAATCATGTACAACTGTAGTTCGTTAATTTTGCAGAATCCAAGTATACTCCTAAAGAAAAAGGATCGGAGAAAAAAATGGAATCTTTTCTAGCATCTACGCAAAAATCAATTTCTTAACGGCATCATCAAGATGCTTGGAAGCTGAGCAATGAGCATTAATAATGGTATGTACTGATGTGGACACTCCGCCACTTCTAACCTGTTGTCGGATGCACATCGATGACATATCATTGGATTTCGGCGCAAAATGGACGGTTTCTACGGCATAATCAGCCGGCAGTGCACTGCCGTATCAAGCAAAACCGCGTAACTCCCAAAGTAAACCCCGAGAGGATCCGTGGTTTCCACTTAGCGTGGCAGTATAAGATACTGAACGGTAATAAAGCACGAGATTCATGGGTTACCTCAGTCGGAACCATGTCGGCGATTGGAATTCTTGTCTTGTGTACTGGGCTTTTGCTCGAGGTAAGTTTGTGACAATTAGTGCCTATTCAATCTATTCTTTTTTACGCGTGTAGTTGTAGTTGGTTAAGTGGGTGATGATCCATGGTTACTCTCACTGGAAAAAAAACACATTGGATCTAGAGTCCAGACTCTTGAAAACATCGAAAAGAAAAAATACTCTTGATTCAATCAGATTTAAGCTTAAATCACGAACCAAGCTTCTTAGTTTGAGCGGATTTCCTTTGGATTTAAGCTTAAAGCTGATTGAATCAAGAGTCCTTTTTCTTGTCAATGTTTTCAAGAGTCTGGACTCTAGATCCAATGTGTGTTTTTTCCAGTACTGCAAAGGTTACTCGAAGACACATGGTGCTTGCGGAACGGCTTTCTTGTGAAGATTCATCCGTCCAGGATTTCGGGTGTTTTTTTCTCCTTCTGATAAATATTATTTTTTATTCGTGCAAGGCGGGAAAAATCTCTGTTCTTAAAATGCTGAGAGTGGATGAGTAAAATGTGCCCTGACGCCCATACCCACCTACTTTTTTGATCATTTTACAATGTTCTTTCGTGGTAAGAAATAGTTTGGTCCCAATAACAATGGTGCAATTTTCCTCAGACTGATATAATTGCTACCGCAGATATAACATAGTGATTTCGAATAGAGAAGTAGGTGGAACCATGAGCTCTGTAATATCGACGATTCTCTTGACTCCCTGGCCTGGGGCTTACTTTGTGTCGTTTATATTACGCTTTTTCCTAACAAAGTACATCATGTGTTTCAAGAATAGTTTATAAAAAAAAAAACTTTAAAAAAAGAAAAGACAAAAATGCATAAAACGCATGTTCATCTTGTTGAGTTATCAGAGTGTCTTTAGACTAAAGTATAAAAATGTCCTGACTTTTCCTATTTTCTCTGACAAGACTTAACAAGAATCTTTGACCTTCCACATGAACAATTTGCACCCGGTAAACCTGAAAAACAACATTTATTGGCCTTCAATTTTCAATTCTTACTCAAAAACAAGGGAACATTAATTTTTTTCAGGAAATCATCATTCAAATTACTGAAATTGCAATTCCTTATTGCAAGTTCTTCCGCTGTTCATTTTTCGGAAAGTGACTAAGAACATAAAACACCTGAATCATATTAAGGCTGAGTTTTATTGTGTAGATAGTGCTGATGTTTTGTCAGCTTTGAAATTTGTCAAATTTGTAGTTTTCATCGTAAAATTCCAGACTTCCCTGACCCGATGGATGAAAGCCCCTCATTATTCACGGTTTCCCTTTTTTCCAGACCTGCAGACACTCTATACCTATTAGTTAACTTGGGCCGAAGGATCAGACAGGAGCCTAGGAATTATGATTAATGAGCTCCCAAGTGTTGATCGTTTGGTTCGACTTAGATGTATAGAGTACTACCGAGCTAACGAAAAACGCCGTATGAGCATTCAAGAGTTACCAAATTTCCTCCGATAAATTGTTCATTTTTGAGGAAAGATACGAATATTTTTCCTTGAAATTTTCGGGAACTTTATGTGAAATTTCTGACAGAATTATCAACAAAAAATTGGAAGAAAAATGTTCATGAGTTAACCAATAAATTCGTGTCTCATAAAAAGAAATTTGGCAACGTCTAGAGGTTTATACGGCATTTTTCCGGCAGAGCAGACCTGTTAATTGGACTGCATTTTGCAATTTGGAACTATAAATTATGGCACATCTGGAAAAACACTTACGTGCATAGGGAAACTAATGGCACATATGATGTTTTTAAACCGGGCCAGACTTTATAGTTCCAAAATGCAAAATGCAGTCCAGTTCAGGAACATGTGTTTCTTATCCGACTCTAGAGGCTCAGCTTACCGATTGATTACAGATGAGTCCGCGTCAGGGACTAGTGGCGGCCGACATACATGACAGAGCAATGAAGGTGCCAGACCCAGACCAAGACTACAGTGAGGGAACATCGAATAAAACGGAGCCTGAATTAGGGACCAGGAAAATTCAAGGACCAACTGAACCTCCAGGTTTAGCTTCCAAGGAACCAACAAGGCCTCAAACAACACAGTTTTCCGCGACAACACCTTCCTCCACAATAAGTTCTGCGACACAACATCCAGTAGAAGAACCCTCAGGAACAGAACCTCTTACGGGTGAACTTTTATCGGCAGAGATCATTGAATCGGACTTACCGAAGGTGACAGAAGCTCGACATGATACGAAGGCTTCGGATGTGAAATTTGATGAACCACAAAGAATAACCAGGATGAGTTCGCAGACTTTAACAGATACCAATTCAGGGTCCCAGGTCAATCAACATCATGCAACGCCAAGAGTGTTACGGACAATTCTGCCGCATGTGATTAACCTTTTTACGAGAGCAAGACGGTTAGCAAGCAGAATTTTATGGACACCATTGGAATCGGGAAGCCAAAGGAGAGGCGAGTCGCTCATAGGTGACGATCGGCAATTAAGCGGCTCGCCCGACGGCCAAAATCAGGATACGATGAGCCAACCGAACTTAAGTCGCTACAACATGACCGTCGGATCAGACGGGAGGAGAAACGATTCCGGCGGGAAACTCGAAGAAAGTTTACCTCGCATCAATGGCTACACCAATTCAGATTATGGTCAAAAACATGATCAAATAGGCGAACCGCAATTAAGTTCTATTGCATTCAATGAATCAAGAAAAAAAGAAAATGATCCACATAAAACACAAAGTGGGGACGGTATGCCCCGCTCAAGTGACTACAGCAATAAAGGAGACAGCTCAGCGTATGGTAGAATATACTCATCACACTTAGGTGACTACGATGTCATATCCGGTAAATCGGGAGCAAATGAAAATTATTTCAGAAAAACACAAAATGCAGAAAAAGTATCCCGCTTGAGCAACTACAACAATATAAATGACAGGTTGGTAAAAGGTAAACAATTCTTGGTAGGGCCACCATCAGGAGGAATTCCTCACGACTCCGCCAGTTTAAGGGCCAAAAAAAGTGCATTTCCAGGTGTATCGGGTACAAATAAATGGCTCACTTACTTTCCGGTGGGAAGAGAAATGACACCTCCTGAAATGTTTTCATTTAAGGAAGACGAGAGACAAGGGGCTGAAGCCAGTGGTAGGAGGAGAGTTAGAAGAAATAGTATCAGCATGCCGGTGGGAATAATTCCTGAAACACTAAAAGAAGTTATTCCTAGGGCATTGACAGGAAATATTCCTCAGACACGAAGAGAATTCATTCCTGAGATGCTAGAAAATAAAATACCAGAAACACCAAAACAAGGAATTCATCAGACACCAAAAGAAATGACTCCTCCCACACTAAGAGAGGTAACGTCTCCGACACTAAGACAGGAGATTTCTCAGACGCCAAGACCGACAATTGCTCAAAAACCAAAAGAAATAATTCCTCCGACACAAGAAGAAAAAAATCCTCAGAAACCAAAAGAGGTACTTTTTCAGTCGCCAAAAGAAGTGCCAACTAAAACGTCAAATGGATCCATTACTAAGGCACCATTAGAAGTTACTCCTCAGTTACAGAAGGAAGTAAATACTACTTGGAAACCTGTAGAATTCACTTTCAATCCGAATGGTAACAATAATGATGATGATGATGATGTTTGCAATGGGACTAAGGCGACAGAGAAGAAGGAACAGGAGGATAAGAAAAAAGAAGTGGAAGAAAAGGAAAGGACGATTTCGCAGTCGCCAAAGGAGGCGGGGACTACTTGGACACCTATAGAGTTCGAATTCAATCCGAATGGGGACGATGATAAGGGTTGTGATGGGAAAGAGCTAACGCCCGAGCAGAAGAAAAAGAGGGAGGAGAAAAAGAAGAAAAAAGAAGAGGAAGAAAAGAAGAAAAAAGATGAAGAAAAGAAGAAAGAATTGGAAGAAAAGAAGAAAGAAGAGGAAGAAAAGAAGAAAGAGGAAGAGGAAGAAAAGAAAAAAGAACATGAAGAAAAGAAGAAGGAGAAGGAAGAGGAGCTTGAAGAGCAGAAGAGGGAAAAGGCAGAAGAGCTTGAAGAACAGAAGAGGGAAAGGGAAGAAGAGCTTGAAGAACAGAGGAGGGAGAGGGAAGAGGAGCTCGAAGAACAGAAGAGGGAAAGGGAAGAAGCGGATGAAGAAAGAAGAAGAGAGGAGGCAGAGAGGGAGAAGGAAGAAAGCTGGCAAGATGACGATGACGGTTTCAGATTTATGAATCCCAACTTTTCTTAAAAAAAAAAAAAAAAAAAAAAAAAAAAAAAAAAAAAACAAAAAAAAACTCACGGAAACTCAACGACGTCGATTATGAGCTGGACATACACTACAGCTCCACTAGTATCCTTTGAATTCTGCTGGCTCACTTAAGAAACAACGTAAGTGCAGTCTGTTACTCCATGCAGATGAGTGCTTTTATGAGAGAACCAGAAATAGGGGCTACTTACAAGGGGAGTCTACGAAGTGACATCCTGGGATTGGGTTCATTTTGCTTGTACATGAAGAAGAGACAAATCTAAGGTTGACGTATTTTTTTTTAGCCGCCACCTCCCAACCGTTCTCGAGATATCGATTTTTAAAGTTACGATTTTTGCACGTTTCCGCGCAGAGTTCCGGCGAGTCAACTGAGCGCCAGCAAGCTGCACGAAGCGCGTTTCATATGAGCGCTGCAGACCGGCCGTTCTTATCAATAGTTCCGTGGCCGAGTGGTAGAGTGTTCGCCTACCGTTCCATAGATCGCGGGTTCGAATCCCGCTTTGAGCCGTAGTTTATAGGGTACGCCGCAATGCATTCACAAAAGTTTTCTTTATTTTTATCACACACCAAGGGGTCCGCCCCCTGGCCGCTACGCGGCCCAACCCCCGGGGCGAAAAGGCGCGCTTCGCGGCGAGCGAAATCATCGAAATCGACCGTTGATGGTTGCAAATTCAGAGTAAGGAAAAAGTCATTAAGAATATAGTGTGGTGGGAAATTTTTATTTGAAACATCATTTTATCATTCAATTAAAATTATTTACCCAGTAACCGTCAACGGTCGGTTTCAATGATTTCGCTTGCCGCGAAGCGCGCCTTTTCGCCCCGGGGGTTGGGCCGCGCAGCGGCCAGGGGGCGGACCCCTTGGTGTGTGATAAAAATAAAGAAAACTTTTGTGAATGCATTGCGGCGTACCCTATAAGCTACGGCTCAAAGCGGGATTCGAACCCGCGATCTATGGAACGGTAGGCGAACACTCTACCACTCGGCCACGGAGCTATTGATAAGAACGGCCGGTCTGCAGCGCTCATATGAAACGCGCTTCGTGCAGCTTGCCGGCGCTCAGTTGACTCGCCGGAACTCTGCGCGGAAACGTGCAAAAATCGTAACTTTAAAAATCGATATCTCGAGAACGGTTGGGAGGTGGCGGCTAAAAAAAAATACGTCAACCTTAGATTTGTCTCTTCTTCATGTACAAGCAAAATGAACCCAATCCCAGGATGTCACTTCGTAGACTCCCCTTGTTAGTCCAATTCATTCCAAACTGTTGCCGAGACGTCGCTATTTTGGTTTCTTTATACGATTCAGCGTCTCACCCGTCCGTTCGCGGCGCGGGAAATTTTTGCCTCTTCCGATATCATTCTTTTCTATCAAAGTTTTTCATAAAGTAGAGAGTTGAACAGAATGAAATTGTAGAAGTTACATGCATTATCTACATTGGCAGATCCATGCAACGTGGCAACATCGGATTTCCTCTATTTAAACCTATGGAAATGTATCGATTCTTGGAGCACTGGAAAAAGAAAAAAAAAAAAAAAAAAAAACATTGGATCTAGAGTCCAGACTCTTGAAAACATTGATAAGAAAAGGGACTCTTGATTCAATCAGATTTAAGCTTAAATCAAAAGGAAACCCGCTTAAATTAGGAGGCTTGGTTCTTAATTCAAGCTTAATCTGATTGAATCAAGAGTATTTTTTCTTGTCAATGTTTTTAAGAGTCTGGACTCTAGATTCAATGAGTTTTTTTTTTTCCAGTGAGGGGCCAGGTGCTCCAACAAGAATCGATTACTTTGCATAGGTTTAAATGGAGGAAAATCGGTGTTCCCAAATTGCTGGATCCGCCTCTGATTATCGTTAAGAGAGGTGCCCTGTCGACTTTCGTGTCTTGAGCCGGTATCAGACGATGAAAGTAGAGCTCTCAAAGCGGCGCCGCTTTGAGAGCATACATGTGACCCACGCTCGGAGAAAAAAACCTCGTGCATGGGACCTGAAGTTGAGGTCATGGATCTCTGAAGTTTTCTGATCACGCATCCGAAAACTTGAGGTCGAGCAGCCAAAGTTCGGGTCAGACATCGAGGCACTTCGGTATGTACCGGAGTACTTCAGATGTATGACACGAACCCTTCGGTATATATCGAAGTACTTCAGATGTCTAACCCGAACTTCGGCAGCTCGACCTCAAGTTTTTAGATAAGTGATCCGAAAACTTCAGAGATCCATGTGACCTCAACTTCGGGTCCCACGCACGAAGTTTTTTCCTCCGTGCGTGACCCTCATCTTCCACCAGCCGCATCGATGCGCCACTTTTGAGAGCTCTTTGATCGTCTGATACCAGCTTTAACGTCTGCCGTAAAAGAGCAAAGTTGGGCCATGGAATAAAGTGAATCGATGGAAAAAGTTCATCAGGCAGAGGGGAATCTTTGATATGACTTGTACCTCTATTGATTAGCATCGTGCATTAAAACGTTTTAACGTCACATCTGCTCCACGAGAAACTTTATTTCCCTATCCTTTCAGTTAATCAATACAAGTGTGAGGAAATCTTTAGGACTTGGCACTTTCCCATCTTTCTTTGCATTTGATACTGAGCTGGAGTGTGTGAGATAAACTCTATGCCCAGGAGATTTAAGGGAGTTGAGAACTGATACGCGCCCATAAAAATTGCTCTACCAAATTTGCATTTGAACACCGCACTGCACCGGTGCGTGATTTCCGACTGCAGCGATTGGGGACCCAATGAATAGCTTCAATCAAAGCTGATGCCAAATGCTCGTGTCTTCAGCATTGACGGATCTTCAAACATAGACTTGTTTACATTCATTTAACGATGGTAATCTTTCGAATAATTTTTTTCGGCTTTGCTTTCCACATTAGGAAACACACATCGAGGAATGCCTCGATTATGAAGAAGAAATTGAGGAGCTTTCCGGAAAAAGGGCGCATTGCAAGAAATCGCGTATGAGAAAAATGCATCGTAAGTTTCCATCATTACTTTCCGGTCACTGATGATACCTTACATCGCAGCTTGGACTCCCGATTTCGAACGTAAGTCACAGTCAGTGGCCATAATATAATGAGGGAAACTTCAAATGCACTTTTCTCAAAGGCCATTTTTTGCTAGGTGCCCTTCCTCCAGAGAGCTCCTCAATTCTCGTAAAAAGTGAAATGCCTTGCCTTCCATCAAAAGAACAAGTATCAAATTGTAGTAGAATATAAAAAATCGCGACGTCATTCTCATTTTCTACATGAATATTTAATAGGCATCACCAGTCGCAGACGTTCTACGATCAATCCAGCATTTCAAAATCATTTATTTGGGCAGGAGACAGCTCCACACCCCCCCCCCCCNCCGGTGTTGAGTCCTGCGAAGCTGAGGGTAGTTTTTACCTAAAATCTGGGTGATGTCATTCAGAGACACAGCCACACAGTCCTTTTAGTGGGGTAGGAATTCACGACTATTATAGAAAATCCTACCACTGCGACAAACTAAGCTCGGTATTCTGCAGTGGCGTGGCGTGAATTGCGATGCATCGATTGTTATGCCATTTAAACCTATGGTAAAGAATCGATCATTAAGGTGTTCGTTGCGAGCACCCTGTTCATCGATCCTTTTCCATAGGTTTAAATGACAGATCAATCGATAAATCGCAAAGCACGCCACGCCACTGGTATTCTGCGTCGCCCGAACTATTCGATCCGTCACATTGTCAGCTGAAATCGTCACCTTCCGGTCAAAGTATCACAAGCGCCATGCGACGTTTAAAACTTTCCGCCGCCATTTTATTTTTTTACTGAGAAATTGTCGGTTGAATCTGTTCGAAAATTTCACGAAATTTTATCGGCAGCACAAAGAAAATTCGGTGTGATTTTCGGACAGCTTCGTTGAACGATTTCTCTGTAAAAAAATATAATGGCGGCGGGAATTTTTAAACGTCGCATGGCGCTGGTGATACTTTGCCTGGAAGGTGACGAAATAACGTTCTTGTGTCACATAAAACTACAGAAAACATCACCTTCGGAATAGGTTAGAGGAGTGCCGACGCAGACGTACTGGGTTCTTTCATTTAATTTATTCTTTCACACACTCGCAGTCTGCGAGATTAAAGCAGAGCTTTCGAATGTGATCTCTCGATTAATAATTAGAAACAGGAGAGAAGTGGCAGCCGGCGCGCCACGATGAGGCTCAAATCGAATGCGACGAGACGCGGAGCCGGAGATCCTAACCTTCTTCGCAGCGTCATCAGCTCGGGCTGAGAAAAATTTCATAGAGATATTATTTTGATTAAAAGCGTCATCCACATGACTGAAATCCACATATTAATGAAACCAATCCAATTTTTAAAAATTGCTTGAAGTATTCAGGATTTCCTGATCCATGACCGATTTTCCTGGTAAATTCCTGATTGTTTTTGATAACATCAAATTTCCTGACATTGTCCGGGTCTCCTGATTTTTACGGACGATAGACGCCCTGATTGTGTGATACATTTTTCTCACAGTGTCTCATCGCAAAACTTCGGTTAGCTGCACGGAGGAAAAAACCTCGTGCGTGGGACCCGAAGTTTAGGTCATATGGATCTCTCAAGTTTTTAGATTGAGCATCTGAACACTTTAGGTCTAACTGTCCGGGTTCGGATCACACATCTGAAACTTCAGTTCTTACATCTGAAGTACTTCAGTTCTTACATCTGAAGTACTTCAGATGTGAGAACCGAAGTTTTTCGGATGTGAAAACCGAAGTACTTTAGATGTAAGAACTGAAGTTTCAGATGTGTGATCCGAACCTTGACGGTTAGACCTATAAAGTGTTCAGATGCTCAATCTAAAAACTTCAGAGATCCATATGACCGAAACTTTGGGTCCCACGCACGAGGTTTTTTCCTCCGTGCAGCTAACCGAAGTTTTGCGATGTGACACTGTGAGAAAAATTTATCACACAATCAGGGCGTCTATCGTCCGTAAAAATCAGGAAACCCGGAAAATTTCAGGAAATTCGATGTTATCAAAAACAATCAGGAATTTACCAGGAAAAT